TTGCGACGTTCAGTGATAAGGCGTACTTAAAAACATGTGTATTTTGTTAAGCAATGAGAATATAACAGATAATCATATCACACTTCAATGACTGTAATCCGAGATGCGATAGTCAAGCATTGTTGTATCTTATGTGTTAATTCCAAAATTAATGTTTTTTGTATGTGTACCGAATAAGCTTTTAATTCCTCCAACAGTTTTTGCTTGATGATCATCATCATCATTATTATCAAATTCATCAATCATTCTCTCGAACTTTCGCACTTTTTAGATGATATATCATCGTTTAGACTCAAACCGACTATGTGTTTCAAATTTTGTAAAATTGTTATAAGTGGCAGAAAGTATCCTGTATGATTTATTTATTTTGACTTTGACTTTGAAAAGAAAAAGGCAGATAAAGTAGACGAGCATGCAAATACAGACAAACCCACTAACTATATAAAAACATTGTCTACCAACACATTCTCGTTATATTGATCTAACGAACCACTCGCTCAATATTGATTTGAATATTCCGAGTGCCAAAGTTATTTATTGCCGCGCGAACTCCAATGTTTACTGTCCACTTGTAATAAATGATGAGTGAATCTGGAACAGTCATAAGTGGTGCGACCACACGATCAATTGGAAGGGGAGATATCTTTAGGGTTCCGAAACAGAGATTTGCGCGTCTTTGCAACTGAACTATTAGCACCATCTTGAAAATTCTCTATTTTGTCCTTACACTTCTTTGTATGTATATTTCAGAAAATATTCATGTTATTACGCCACTTCATGTTCACATTATGACGACCCGAAATGAATGGGATAAGGTTGATGAAAGTTGCAAAATATACATTATAAATTTCTGTTTGTTTTTTATTTGTTTCTGAAATTAAAGCGACAGTTTTTAAGAGTACCATATGACTTCGCGTTCGTAAACTATTCCACCGTTAATCTTTAACTTTTCTTCCTGTTCATATACGTCTACATAAAATATTATTATCCTTTGTTCAACAATTTGCAATCCGTCGGACCGTAGCGTATTGTTTCATGGTATTCTTGCAAGTTCAATACGTAGTCCTAGTGAGCGGTTAATGACACCTTTATTGCTAGTATCATAAGGTTCATAGACCGTTGGCTGTGGGTCATACTAGCTGATATTACGTAGTGTTATGGGCGTACATGTGGGTCGCAATATTTCGCAGCGTGAGTGAGTGGGTGGGTTTCCTATCGAAAGTATTCATCAGAACTAACGTATTAATACATTTGCTGTTACTATTGGTTTATGTAGACAAATTTATTGGTTTTGTTATGTAATATTAAAAAACAAATAACGGAATCGATGAATAAAATCTAGTAGTACTTAACGTTTTTCTCTGCTTTAGTAAAGATTGGAGTGATTCGTTTTAGGGTACAATAGGACTGGCATGTACTTAGATGGTACAAAGTCCCTAAATTTAAAAAGAAATAAAAATAGAGTAAGAGGTTTTGCATTAGTGATAATGCGCAATTATTTTTAGTAAACAAGAGGTTTATAAAATGTTATTAGGTATAACATCTACATCGTAACAATTTTTATTATTATTAATATTGATAACGTTCTGATTGTTTTCGTATCATTTGCGATGTAATGAAGTCCAGGCATTGTACATTATTCAGTATTTGCTTTATATATATTATAATTTGCATAATTTTTACTAGTATTTGTGTAGTCAAGTTAAATGAACATCACAGCGTCTAGTTGTGCAAACACAATTGACCTTCACTCTAGCAGCGATTGTCGCGAAATAAAAGCATGCTGGTGATTATAAACGTGTTTGATGTCTCGACGAGATCCGTAAACATGTTAATATTAGCTATTTTCATAGAAAACAGGCTTCCCTTCGCTAGATTATCAAAGACATTAATGAGAATACTACTAGACCTGTTATTACGTCACAGAAATCTTGTCTATAGATAGATCTCTTATTCTTTTGTAGTTCCTAATATATCTGGTGTCTGGTCGCCCTGTACATTCCTCTTTCTGTACAACTGGGTTGTCTGAGTTCTAATAGATTGACCAGGTCAAGTTATGGTAACGCTGAGAACAATTGTTTGTTTTTTTTATGTGAACCTGAAATATTTAATGTATTCCTAGAGACGCCCCTGAAATTACAAAATGAATAGGTGACGCTCGTCATACGCTGCCGTTTCTGAGAAATAGGTGTCAGGCCTTCTAAATGTGTATTTAAATTCGTTTATGTACATAATACTTAAATAGTTTTAAAAGTAAATATACCTTAATGACAGTTTGTGGCAGTCAGAGCCATTGTCAACTGTCGACTTCTTAACATGCCCATAATTTGATGGGTTTATTTATGCAATGTGTCTATCGGTGTTTTTAAGTAACTAACCCGTGACACAGTAACTTTTAGCCGGGATATAATCTATCTTCATATCTTTATAACATCCGTTCAGTCGTTTAGTCACGAAAAGGTAACAAACAGACAAATGTATATCATTCACTAGCGACCCCTTCCGACTTTGCACGGATGCATTACCTATCTTTGGATTTCTCGGTTTGTTCTATGCCATAACATGCACGTATTATAATATATGAACCTTCCTCGACCTCGACGACCTTGGTGGTCTAGTGGTCTAGCACACCGCCTTACGACCGATGGTCGCGGATTCGATTCCTCGCACGGCTCAAATATTTATTCATGAGTATGATTGTTTGTATCGGTCTGGGTGTTTTCTACGTATAATATGTATGTCTTTACAAAAAAATATATCTATGTATATGTATCAGTTATCTAGTACCCATAACACAAGCTTTAGCTAGCTTAACTTGGGTCAAGATGGCGCTGTGTGAATTGCCTTGAGATTATTATTATTATTCCTCTTGAATCACTCTATCTATTGCTGAAAACTGCATTAAAATGCGTTACGTCTTTGTTTTATGCTATGTTAAGATAATATTAGGATGCTAGTATGGATATAGTTTTCGATTACAGCCCAGTTTATGCAGCATATCTTATTTCAACAGTGAAAGATAGATTCCTATGTAATATGAAACATTCCGTTTTCTCAACTGAACCGTTCTCATCATTGACAGTTCGTCTATTAATAGAAGTGAATCGAGACATTGAGTGCTCGCTAATTTACCGAAATAGCATGTCATTATCGATCTTTTGATGATTCTAAAGTAGGAACTCAGAGTTGTGCTCATGTGTTACATTTTGTTGATGTGATGGGTAGCGAATTAATTGGCTTTGTTCAAATGAAGCAACGCAGGTTTGCGCTTAATTGTGTCATAATGGTTCAATGTTTGGGATGTCATTTCTTATTTTATATCAATTCATCTAGGCAAAGAACCTCACGTACAATTATACAATACATTTCTTAAGTTATCAGTCAAATGTTTCTATCAATGTCAGATATATTATCGTAATTACTATGAATATTAACATAGTTTTCTATAAGAATTTTGCTGCTGTTTTTGCAATGTCAATATACATTTGAAAATATTACAATACTAGCTGTGCTCGCGGTTTCACCTATATGAAACTTATAGCCTATTGTTATTCTGTTGTATAAGATGTATTACTGTAAAGATTCAAAATCCGTTTATAGCGTGAAAGAGTAACAAACATACATTCATCCATAGTCACAAATTTCGCGTTTATAATATTAATAAGATTTACAGCATCTTCTAAGTTTTAAACATTTGCCTAAAAACTTAAGTCGCAGTATACCATACTGGGACCTATTAATTAATTGTGTACCTAAATAAAGTTACATGTGGCCATTGCCACTTATTGTTACTGTCCGACTATTGTTTTTCAACTGGTAATTAATTGAAATATATCTCTAAAGGAAGTAACTCGCATTGTATGAAATGGCGAATATGGCAAGTCGACGTGGTGTCTGAATGAATGGTCCGGCTTCGTGTGCGTGTTTAGTAAAAAGCCGTTATCAAAATGGCCGCGCTTGGTCGTCCGCCATTGTAAAGCGCGGTCGTTGACGCGGCGGGAGCCAGACGTGTGCCTGGCGCGTCGTATCGATTCAAGTGACTGTGTACGTACAACGACATCTGACGAGGGAACTAACAACTGAGTTGTAGTAAGGCGACAATAGATGGCGCTTTTACATATATTTTGCTACTCGTAGAATTTTTCTAGAATAAGTTGAAATTTAATGGTAGATCACTAGATGTAGCGTTGTAGGCACTTTTAGGTGTTGATGTGAAACAGAAAAAAAATATTTTCTTAAATTTCCACATAAGTATTTTTATTCGGAAGGTTATTATAATATTTGAATTTTATAATTATACTAGCTACTCCCCCCGCCTTCGCACGGTTTGTATAATACATATAAACCTTCCTCTGGACTAACTCAATCTATTGCTAAATGCTGCATTAAAATTCGTAGTGTAGCTTAAAAGATCTAAACGAACAGACAACGGAAGCGACTTCATTTTGTACTATGTAAAGATAAAATATTGTTCTTATAGCACTGTTTTACGTTGTCACTATATATTTATAAAGAGTAAATTATTACAAATAATTTTAGGTACCTTTTAAAGACATATTTCAATAGAACTTTTGACATTAATGCGAGTTTATCGTTCCCAGCCTTACTAAACAGTTGAAACTATATTTTAAACTAGCTGTACCCGCGACTTCGTCCGCGTGGAATTTAACTTTATTTTTATAAAATAAAGTTAGCCTGAGTTACTCCTTATTACATCAGCTACCTGCCAATAAAAGTCCCGTCAAAATCAGTCTAGCCATTTCAGAGATTAGCCGGAATAAACAGACAGACATACAAAAATAGTAAAAAAATGTTATTTTGGTATATGTACCGTATATATATTCATATGCATGTAGTAAAAAACGGTTATTTCAATATTACAAACAAACACTTCAATTTTATTTCTATGTGTAGACGTGTAGATAATTCGTACACGACCGTAGTACCTATTCTAGTTTAGCTTCATAATAATAAATCATGTTAAATTTTATTGTTCACAGTGTAAGGATTTCGAGAAGGTTGGCGCCACCATCGCCGTAACACCGTGTGATGTCGTTGAGGAGTCAGATATTACGTTCTCCTGCGTCGCTGATCCGCAGGCGGCGAAAGAGGTCAAGTTTGTTTGTAATTCTTTATTGTACAGATTATATATAAAAGGTCTAATGGTTTAGCAGTGGGCTAAACCATTAGACCGTAGCCTTCTGAAAGTCGCGGGTTCGATTCCTCGCACGACACGAACATTTATAGGGTATGATTGTTTGTATCGGTCTGGGGGTTTTCTATGTAAATATATATAACTCAAAGGTGACTGACATAGTGATCTATCAACGCACAGCCCAAACCACTGGACGGATTGGGCTTAAATTTGGCATGCAGGTAGATGTTATGACGTAGGCATCCGCTAAGAAAGGATTTTGATTAATTCTACCCCCAAGGGGATAAAATAGGGGATGAAAGTTTGTATGAAACTGTCAATTTTAAACTGATCTGGCTGAGACTTTGCATGCATAAAGCTACTATGACGTGGGCATCCCCTAAGAAAGGATTTTGATAAATTCCACAACTTAGGGGATAAACTAACGCGAGCGAAGCCGCAAGCAAAAGCTAGTGTATAATATGTAGGTATTCACGAAAAAAAAATCTATGTATTTGTATGAGCTATCTAGTACCCATGACACAAGATTTAGCCAGCTTAATTTGGGACTAGATGGCGCTGTGTGAATTGTCCAATATAATAATCATTCGGCGCGTCATCATATATGACGCCTTCGGAGGACTAGTGGTTTTTCTTTCAAATATGTATATGAAATGGTGCACCCGTCTGTGCTAACGGTTTACGCTGGTGGGGCACCAGTGGAAAATGATAAGATGAACATGTGGTCAGGTCAGCTAGCCCATCGTGACAAATTCACCAGGAATTTATCGAGATGGGTTCCAGGGCGAACCGCGTGGAAGTCAACCTGACATGATACTTTGCTAGCAATGGGGTCTACATTATTAGCAATCTCCTTCACCCCGGCGGTCTAGTGGTTTAACACACCGCTTTACTTTCATAAGAAAGTAAGGCGGTGTCTAAACGGTCGCGGGTTCGATTTCTCGCACCAGTTCCTTAGATTGGCAGTAATAATCATTGTTTTAGTTTCTGTTAAGTTGATAAATTTCCGCAATAATAGACTTCTTTATATAATAATAATAATAATAAAGACATTTAGCATTACAGTATTCTTATATGTTATCTATCTTATATATTATACAACTTAAAAGCTAAAACGTACTAGTAACGCTGAATGTGACTATATACCATCTTGTATACCATCCATGTATCTGTGATCTGTTTTTTTATATGTATAGATTAATCATTAGCATGAGCCATTTAATGGTATGTCTGAACTTAGCGATCCGTTAAAATAACGTTTTACTATTGTTAGCAGACAATAGATATTGTTGAGTACTTAACAAAGTAATAGTTTATGACTCAACCGCATCCAATTGGTGGTATTACAGTGGTAATCAAGTTTTTTTTGTTATTTCAGTGATTGGATGCACGAAATACTATATTTAAACGAATTTATTTAAATTAAAGTTATTTCCGTTGTGTCTTATTTAGTTTGTGGAAATAATTTGTTTACCATGTTGTTTTCGTGGTATCTATATGTATAGTATAAATGTTTTAGTCGAATCTATAATTTAAATTTAGTTTAAATTAGTTATCTATATGTAGTTAGTACGCATGTGTCTAAAATATATATACTTTTTTTTTTTAGGAAATTTGAGCACGTTAAATTTTTTTTTTATTATTTCTGTACTTTTCTTTGGATAAAGGAAATAAAATCTTGAATGGCTATAGGTGTATAAACACTGATAAATTTTAGTGGGTTCGATTTGTATTTATTACGAAATTTCGGCACGTTTGATTTTTTTTATATATCCAGTACTTTCCTTTGGACAAAGGAAATAAAATATCTAATGAGCATTGATGTATAAACACTGATGTGTATAGTGGGTTCGACCCATATTGTACATAAACAAGGTACATACAAAGGTCACCCGTGCCATCGGCTTTCATCAAGGGCATTAGGATATTAGCTGATCCATTGACCTTTTGTGGCCTTTGTAAAATGTTAAATGAATGGACACCGCACATAAACAAGGCGTAAATAAACCAGACTAGCTCGTACGTACTAACGTAAATGTATATATATATATATATAATACTAGCTGACCCCGTAAACGTTGTTTTATAATATAAATGAAAATAACTATTAAAATTATTATATTATAATAATAATATTTCTTTATTGGAACTCAATAATAATATTTTCTAAAGTAGGGAACTGTTGGATGTAACAATAACAGCCATTAGTAAATAATACTGTGTCGTCGCCGTCAAGGACCACCTCCTTAAGACAGAGGCATTAGTGTTCCAGTAGTTCCTGACAATAGATTTGTATGATAAAAAAATAGGGGTTGGTGATAGAAGGGTGAAAATTTAGAGTTGTATATATTTTTAATGCCATATTATAAAATATATTAAAAAAAAATATTCCAAAAAGAGACCTATATTACTAAGATTAAATAAAAAGTAGGAGTCGAGTCGTATCAACAACTAAAGAGATAGATGGAAGATCGTGGAAAATGGCAAAAGCTCCAACAAGAGCGAGGCTCTTAAATTATCATCATCAGCCTGTGTCTGTCCACTGTTGGACATAGGCCTTTCCCAAAGACTTCCACCATGTGCGCTCTTCCGCCTTCCGCATCCATCCACTCCCGGCCACCTTTGTAATATAGTTGGTCTATCTTGCTGGAGGGCGTCCGACACTCCGTCGACCCATACGCGGCCTCCACTCCATAACCTTTCTTCCCCATCTATCATGGCTGACTCTGCTGATATGCCCGGCCCACTGCCACTTCAGCTGACATACTTTGAGAGCTATGTCGTCTTAAATTATAAATGAAGTTAATTCCATAATATCGACTGCTTAGTCAAAGCTCTACGTCTTTACTTTGGTGTCTACACAGGGAATATCTCCCCTCTTACGCTTCTCAGTCAGTGGCGTAGTTAGGTAACCAAGGGTCCTGGGGGCAAATCAAGAAAATAAAACTAATGTAGGGCCCCACTGCTCAGCATTACAGTTTTATTATAACGCATATATCTCTATCCGTCAAATTGACAACACTGCCAACCCGCAGAAAGAATTTAGGGTATAACTTTCGAATTTCTCTCAACAGAGTTGCCGATATTAAAGTCGGGTTTTGAAAATGGGAGAAATTTTCAAAAGTTCATTTCGATCGAGATTTTCTGGTAAGGGTTCGAGGGCCCCCTGAGCTTGAGGGCCCTGTTGCCTCGCCTAGCCCCTAGGTAGCTACGCCACTACTCTCAGTCCGTGTGCTTTAAGCGCGAGACAGTTGAATTAACTCTCTACTACTGATGTTATACATACGCTACACAGGTTCTTTAAAATCATGTATTAACTTAGAAACAACCAATTTATAGATGGTGTTCGGCAACTGCGGTGTGCTGCACTGTCCGTCGCTGGAGTCGAAGGGCTACGTGGAGATGACGTCCATAGATTCGGACACGTCTCATGATATCGTTGAAGCAATCAGCGGGAAGGGTGGCAGATATTTAGAGGCGCAGGTAACAGATTGACACTACTTAATGAATTTATATTATATCGTTTAATTCCGCTACAATTAGCATGTGTGAGACCACAAATATTCGGTGTGGAAACTTGACTACCATTACGACCTTCTCTAATGGCGATCAAATTCCGACCGTTATTGAGTCACCCATATTGCGACACGTGTTTTGCCTCTGAACGAGGCATCATCAGGCGTTGAATAAAGTTAGGATATAGCTTGGAAGTCTAGTGTTGACTGTTCTGCTACCAAATCGGGACAAATAAATTAACATATATATATATATATTGACGGCTTTGGTGGTCTAGCAGTTTAGCACTCCGCTTAACTTCCGATGGTCGCGGGTCCGAATCCTCACACGGTGCAAACATTTGTATTCATTATTGTTTGTATCGGTCTGGGTATTTTCTATGTATATCATGTATGTCTTTACAAAAAAAAATCGAACTATGTATGTCAGTTATCTTGTACCCATAACACAAGCTCTGCTTACCGTGGGACTAGATGGCGTTGTGTTAGTTGTCTAAGATTATTTATTATATAACATCATCATATCAACAGATCATCATCATATACCACCGTTGAACACTCACTTGTTGGCTTGCTCCTCATAAAAAAAGAATTAAGCCTACGTTATCACGGCTGAGGTGGTTCGGATCTTTTGTACTATACTCACCAAAACACTGAGCATAGAATGCATGGAGGATACGGTGTCATGGCGGTATCTTGTATATGCACAACAGTTACCTTGCAACTTTCCATCAGGCAAGAAAATTGTTTGCGGCATAAAAGGTGTTTATGTGGACAAAAGCATCAAGCAAGAAATTATGTGCGATATATCGGGCATATCTATCATACTTACCTTATTTAATTGGCTCTACTATACTTTTTATAGGGAAGAAAGAATAGTTAGTAATAAGGGCTTTGGCAATTAGCAATGCACCCTATGAGGTCGATCGCCATGCGGTTCCCATCCACAATTCGCAACGAAGGGCTGGCCTGACATCATTCTCTTCCCATTCTCTACTAACTCGTAGCCATTCACATTCATTTAAAAAAAATCTACATTTATATATCCATCTATTCCAGATTCAAGGGTCAAAGACCCAAGCGGAGGAGGGCACGCTGATAATCCTGGCGGCGGGAGATCGCACGCTGTTCGACGACTGCCAGTCGTGCTTCAAGGCGATGAGCAAAAACTCCTTTTACCTTGGTAGTAGTCAGCTTCTCCGGTTGCTAGCGCAAGGAACTTTGGACGTTGACACTTAGATTTAATTGCACAGCTTGTACCGATGACCGCGTTTATTTTGCTAGTTTTGGTAGCTGGAAAGGTCATCCGTTTATATCATAAAGAGTTATCATGTAGGATTTATTAGTTAGTGAGGAACAGCGAGAGACGGAGAGGGAGAAGGAAGGAAGAAAGGAGGAGAATGGTAGGAGAAGAACTATACATATATTAGCCATGACTGTAGGGTATGATCTCCTTTTCAGATGAAGTGGATACTATCTGTTGATGCATGAGTACATATATGTGTATGAGAGAGAGAGGAGAGAGAGAAGCCGAGTTTTGCAAAACAAAATGTTACAATGTAATGTTACAAGCTGCTCTATTTAAAATGCTTGCTTTAAATATGTCTTGACTTAGTATTGATCTCCGCCTGCACGTTGTCCGGCATCTTCCTAAAGCTAAACTTGTAGTAGATATAGAAACTGTGATATGTATTGGTAGATTTATCTTTCTTTACATTGTGTATTAAATAATTTTTATTTACAACATCTGATGGAAAATTAATTGTAAATGTTTATGACAACATTCGTTATATATAGACAATAATAATTTATATCAGAAAAGAGCATGAGTCAATGTAGCCATTTATGGTGGTAACACAGCGCTGGTATTCTGTCTCTTTTTATGGTTTAATGGTAAATAAGCTGAGCTCACCTGATGGAACAGGGCAGCAATCTTGTATATAGCAGTGTTACCAACATCACGTGATGCTCATGGTACGTCTTATGCGTTGCCATTCCTGAATAAATCAGATGTCTTGCCCCTGTTATTTTATTGCTATATTCCATAATTCAAACCAGAATACCAGGCCTCCGATACAAGTTACCACCTCAATCGATCCCCGCCCAATTGAAACAAAAATTTGAGATCGAAATTAAGACGGCCTGAGCCAAAGTTCGAACTCCTAGCGGTGCCGTCAGACTAAAGTCGTATCCTTCAGGCTGGGAATGACCTTCAGCCGCTCCAAAAGCCCAATAAAGGCCAGCAGCTACGGCCAATAGCAGTAGATTGTAGAAAAACAAGTCAATAAATAATGTATTGCTATTGAAATCGTCTATCCTAAAATATATATTTATAAATCAAACATATTTGTATCTACATTGACATGTATACTTCTGTTTCTAGAAATATTATGTGCCTTTATTTTTAAAGTATTTTATTTATTTTGTTCAATTATTTTTTTAAGTGTCAACTATCAAATCCGAGCGTTTGGAAATTGCATGATGATATGTTTATGGTTTTGTTTATGACATTATCCTACCCATAGCACTTATTATGCTTTGTTTATGTAAACCTTGCTTGTCTATGATCCTAATTCAATGGGGAATGTGGTTCATTACTTTCATACATTCTATACCTTATATTTATCATAAGATGCATATTTATTTTGGTTATTTGGTTTGTATGTGGAGAGTAATTTCAGGAATCATTGCATTTATTACAAGCCTGCATCGCCATTTAAAACACATTATTCTTAATAGATTTACACTATATTATGTTATGTATATTGTTTATCCTGAGTGAAGTTGGAATGGGCTGCTACTGATAAACAGAATGACAAAATAACTTTTTTAAATTATGAAAATTTACGTCATTTTATTCTATTTATGATTATCTATATACATAAGGAAAATACCTTGAAAGAAAGTTCAATAGCTAGAATACTATATGTATACTAATAGTTATTGAATGTTATTATGATTATCTTTAGTTTTATATATAAAAACTAAATAACGTTTGTTAGTCTCGCTAATAAAATTCAAGAACGGCTGAATCGATTAGTTTAATTTTGTTTCTAAATATTTATAGAACTCCAAAGAAGATTTAAGGTGAGAAATATATAAAGAAATTGCATGAAAGGTAGTAGAAACAATTATATTTACTATGCAAACTGGTCGTATTTGTCAAACAGGTGCGTTCAGAAATTTATTGCCTAACTAAACTTCGAAATACTTTTCACTTATTATTTAATTCTGAGGTGGAGCAGAGTTTGAGGGGTCGGATAGTAAGTAATAATTTTACAAGTTTTTAATTTGATTAAGGTATTAAGTATGAAAATTTGATAAAAAATAGTATTTTGATAAACTTCATCATGGTTTATTTTCGTTAGGTCAACAGATATGTTAGATAGTTAGTTCTATATGACAGATATATGAATATATTATATCATTCAGCAAAATACAGTATGTGGCATTGTTTGCATATGATACGGCAAAGTCTAATGTGTACCTGTCGGTTTGTTTTTAAAGGATTTTAATGAAATTTTACGAGTGGATAGTTCGTATCATGCGTCTTTTTTATCATGCATAAAAGAGGCAATAGTAAATTATTAAAATTGTAATTTATATTATATCATAAATGAAAGTATGTTTTTTTTGTTTGTTTGTTATGTTTTCACGTCTTAATTGACTACTGGTGTAGAAATTTATGTCTTTAACATATGCGATGGCAGAAGCTAGTAATCACATAAAACATATTATAATATGACTATTCAAAAGTGCTTATATTATATTTCTTTAATATGAAGATTATTTTTATTTGTAATTGTACAAAGAAAATAAGTAACAGACTAAATATGTCGTCCGGGAAGGAATGTAACGCGGTGGATGGTGTGGTGTCTGTTGCAGGCGACATCGGGAACGCGTCGAAGATGAACTCGGTGCTATCAGTGGTGGGCGGAGTTGCGCTGGCGGCGCTGGCCGAAGGTCTCGCGCTGGCCGACCGCGCCGGCCTCAGCCAGGCCGACCTGCTGGACGTGCTCGCACTCACGCCGCTCGCCTCCCCGCACCTCATACTCAAGGGACGAGGTTAGTGGCAGTCGGTGGTACTTAACAAAAAGTTTGCCGACCTGATGCTGATGTTAAATTTACGACGTCGCTCATGCCTTATGGACTTACATATACCATTTTTTATACTTATTGAGGTATCAGTTGGAATCCAGTGGAATATATGTTTGAGGTCAATGATCCTAAACAGCTTTACTTACTCCGACCGGTTATTGTATATATCCAACGAAATAAGGATTAAAAGTAAGGCGATGTGCCTTAATTTAAAATCAGGAACCAGTTATTATTTGTAAAGCATTAACGTGGTGATGTGTTAATAACAATGTTCTACTACATCGTTCCATTCATTAATAAGATGCATTTCGTTCGCAGCAATGATAGAGTCATCGTACTCAACGCACCAGCCCCTGACCCACATGCAGAAGGACCTCAAACTGGCGCTAGGGCTGGGCGACGCGTTAGAACAGTCGCTGCCACTGACGGCGACCACCAACGAGATCTTCAAGCACGCCAAGCGGCTCGGGTACGCGAACCACGACGTGGCTGCCGTCTACATCCGCGCCAGGTTCTGATCCGCTCCGACCCTCAAACCACATCCCACGCCGGGGTCCATTCTACGTGTTCTTGTATAGTATGTTATAGGTATCTTGTGTATACAGTTACAGGATTTTACGATTTTATGGGGGGCTTCGGAATACATTCGATTATAATAAAACTCCTATTGCTATAAAGATATAGTTCAAATTGCTTAGTACGTACAATATACTTGTAATTGGGTTAACTCGATATGCTATCATGTATGCGATTTTGTGCTATAACTAGTATCTCGACCTGCCTTCATCTGGGTTCTCATAACTGCGAGTTTTGTATAACTATATAAATATTTTAACATAATTGAAGTATTTAAGCGATTTAGGTGTTATTTTGCACAAGTCCATTTCACTACTTAATGGATTTATATTTTGTTTAATTCCGCTACAATTAGACCAGACAGTCAACAATAGGCTTCCACGCTATATCCGAACTATAATCAATCTCTGATGATGCCACGTTCAAAGACCAAACACGTGTCCGCTATATGGGTGTAGGCTCAATAACGGTCGGAATTTGATCGCCAGTAGGGAAGGTCGTAACGGTAGTCAAGTTTCCTCATTGTATATTTGTGATCTCACACATGCTAATTATAGCGGAATTAAACAAAATAATATAGATTCATTAAGTAGTAATAAGAAAATATGAAGAACCAGCCGTGCTCGTGGTTTCAGTCCCGTGAAATTTATAGCCTATGTGTTAATCTGATGTATAAGCTATATAGTAGTTTTTGCGTGAAAGAGTAATATAATATCCATCCATCCTCGCAAACTTCCGCGTTTATAATATAACTTAAAATTATAGGCTTTTCCGTTCCACTGCATATCAACTACTTTCTATTCTTACTCTATGGTTGGCTATTAGAGAATGCCACATGGCATTAAGCTAAGATAAATAAATAAAAAACTAAAATAAATAATTCCAATAAAGGAGAAAATCATTTATTTGGCTGAGAGATGGATAATAAACTTGGCTGTCAATATTTTGATACAAATGTGAGATTTGACGTAATACATATAAGGTCGAATATTGAATGTGGATAATTTCGTCAATAACTGTACCTCTGTATCTTGTAGGAACGTCCAGGTTTCAAACTTCTTGCCTTCTATATTTATATAGTAACTGGCTTTTTAAATAGCTTCATTTTTAACGCTGGCTTATTAATGTCATTTATGTGTTACCGGGATGCAAACAATATAGTTAGATACATAATATTCATGTATAAATAGATGTACATGTATGTTTTATGTATCTAAATCTAACATATACATGTATAAATACAATGATAAAAATGCTGATATTACATGATACTATAGTAATAATTAAACTCATAATAACAGGCAAATGTCGAGTTTTTTTTTGTAATACACTCACGGCAGCGTTTTATAGAAAGTACTTACTACTAATTAATATTTAAGGTAAATAAAACATTCTGTCAATTCGGAATGCGTTATTTTTATTATATATCTAAATATATATATTAGCTGAAATTTCTTCCATGCCAAATGGGACTGCTATATGCAGTATTATATGATTATTTTAACTGTTAAGTATCAATATATGACAGACAAACATACACAGGAGCATACTCAGTATCCCATTGTTGTATGATATAGCTATGATGTTTATGACCAGTTAATTTTCTGTTTACTTTCTTTCTTTCTAATATTTCTTATTCCCTTATTTATAAAGATGTCAAATAAGTAATAAATCTATTACATATTATAACGTTATTATAACTGTTTTGTCTCTTTCTTCCGACCTATTTTCTTAATATAAAAGAAAGTGACAACACACTGTAATATCGGTGTTACGAAATATTAGTTTTTATAAATAAGGCAGTTTAACTGTAGACTGTGGGAGTTGAATCCGAATTATGAAATAGCTATATAGTTTGTGCTGTATCATATCTCGCAGTAGTTGTAATAAAAGGGCCGTATTGAGAAGCTCTTTCTTTTCTTAAGTCGGTTAATATCTGAAAGCCTCCTATAAAAATCGTTTCAATGATAACAATAGTAAATATGCCCTATATATTAACAGATTATTGAATATCCCATATAAAAAATTGGTGGTATATATATTTTTTTAGTAAATATATTTCGTATAAGAATATAAATCAATTACATTTGATTTATTATGAATGATATGACCCAATACTTGCAAGGAACGTTTAGTTTTGTCTAACTTGTGCACTTGTGTGATTTATTGAAATATGTACCTTATTTATAGACGTGGTGTAGTTTAGTTTTCATTGGCCTGTAACTGAAGACTCAACTAATTTTAAGTCACAACCCAAACAAAATGAAACTCTAAATACATATTGCATATGTTTGAAACCCATGTGGATGTTTTAGACTTTATAGTTATCATTATTTAGTTTTAAGTAATAATAAAGTAAATAAATCAAATGATCTAGAATATGACGTATACTTGATTGACTATTAATAGTGACATTTGGTTATTGTTTATTTTATACGCGATCATGGATAATTCTATATTGAATTTGTTTGAAATTTCAAAATGATCTGTCATTCGAATATGCCCAACAAGTTTTTGTGTTACAAATATGTTTTGCAGTTGTTTTACAATACACTTATGTGACGGATTAGAATTTAGTTATTACATCCTTTAATATTAAACAGCCTCGGTGGTCTAGTGGTTTAGTATACCGCTATACTATCCTATGGTCGCGGGTTCGATCGCACGATACAAACATTTGTATTTTTGTGTTTGAGTGTTGTTGTTTGTATATACCCATAACAAAATAATTTTAGTTTAATAAATTGTCTTGAGATATAAAAAAAAATACAAATACATTTTCAAGTTAAACCCGTTAATAGAAATGAAGCATTGTAATGTCTTGTGTGTATCTTATCTCGATTTGCATATTTTATATTGTTACTTGTGTTCATTTACGTTGTATTCATAAAGAAATAAAATTAGTCTCCTAAATTGATTTACATATATCGTGGTTATCAGCAATTAAACCAACATTATATATATGAACAGGGAAAGGAAACAAACTGTGGTCATCTGGGAATATATTTAAAATTTCGTAACCACAGGCAAAGTCAGTGTGAGAGAGATAACTTATACATTAATAATTGATAAACATAAAAGGTCTTAAATTAAATATCTATTAAACGAAAGTTTTATAGATTTTGGTCACACTCTTAGAGGAGTAAATTTACACAAACTCACGATTTATATTACCGTATAATAATAGTGCAAACTATATGATGACTGCATTTTCAGTCGTATTCAAGGTAAGTCTAGTGGATACTAAATTCCCTTCCCATATTAGAATAAAGTCACATAAGTGTATATTATGAATAATATTACATATTTGTAACATTGTAATATTAAAAGTCTTAAAATTTTATTAACACAATCGTAACCAACTGGACTCTTCAATAAAATGTTTATTTATAAGGAAATTATTAGTATAATAATTAATGAATTGTACTACCACATTTTAATGTTTACCTTACTGTATCTGTAACGGTTACTACCTTACTGTAACGGTTGCACTTTTTTATTTAATTGAAAAAGTGTTGTTTTAAGTTTTTTAATACATAATTACGCTTTTGAAGCGTGTGTGTTTGCATTTATAATTGTTCATATACTAAATAAAACGTCGAAAGCCGAATCTTGAATTTGTGTTAGTTTTAATTTAGATATTCTTTGAGTGTAATTAAACATGAAATAGTTGTTGTATAAAAAAGTTGAAAGAAATGCTCTCAAAGAATAATAATTATAAATGACTCGTAATTTTTATATACTAAAAAAATGTTGTAATTATACTTAATTTGGACATGCAACTAGTTAAGGGCTAATGGGTGGTATAGTGTTGCTAGTGCGCAACGTCATTCATATTTCACTTTTTAAATGACTGTCATGATCAGATACGAATAAATTACATAATAATTTATTATGAATTGTTTTATTTTTTGTCCCAAAGACTACAAAGGTCGTGAGTTCTAATATGGCCGATATAATTCTTTGTTTTTATTTTTTATTCTTTTTTTTGTAGAATCGGTAATTTTTTTATACTACCATGGTGGATGTGTGGTGTGACAAGAATGGATAAGATAAAGAATGAATACATTAGAGGAAGTATGAAAGTGGCGCCGGTGTCAGAGAGGTTGAAGAGTAATCGTCTAATATATATCGTATACGCATTACATGTCCATACCATGGTATGGACATGTAATGCGTAGGAACGAGGATAATATTTTAAGAAAGATGTTACATATGAATGTGGATGGTTATAAGGGCAGAGGAAGGCCGAAAAAAAGATGGATGGACTGTGTGAAAGATGATATGGTAAGAAAGGAAGTAAATAACGCGATGACTGCGAACAGGGATGAATGGAAGCGAAAAACATATTACGACGACCCCAAATAAATGGGATAAGGAAGAAGCAGATGATGATGGTGGACAAACAAGCATACGGCCCATCCGATGGTAAATGGTTACCGTATCCTATGTACGCCTGAAACACTATTGGTGTCATGTCCGCGTTGCCAACCCTTAAGAAACCTTAATATACCCTTGAAACCCCATGCTGTAGTTTCTTGAGAAAACCGACAGGAAGAATAATAATTATATTAATTAGAGAGGAGGGAAGGGGATTGTAACTAACGTGGACTGATGACTTGCTACCAATGTACAAAGTGAGATTGTCCTTCACGCGGTTTCCCTTGCCGTCGTGATAAATTCCTAGTAAATTTACCACGATGGGCTGACTGACCTGACTCATACTCATCGTCTTCCACTGCTGCCCCGTCAGCGTAAACCAATAGCACAATCAGGTGAACCATTCCATTATCATACTTTAAAAAAAACTAGTGAATACTGCATTTTAATAAATACTCAAATAAACTTATCGATTTAGTATCTAATAAAATGAAAGACGAGGGAATGAAGTGAAAAATTACACAGCGTCATCTAGTCCTAAACTAAACATATGTGCATAGATAAAATCAGAAATACAAATAAATGCAGCCCAATACGAACAAATATACTTGAGAGCAAGGAAGGGTACTTAGTAATTTGGACTGACGACCATATTACTAGCAATGTATCATATCAGTTTGACCTTCACGTGGATAAGGAATAGGACTACGTGAATAATTTATAATTTTATTTATTATCAGGTTTACTTGCCCATTTTGTTAGTATTACAGATTTCTTATAATCAATGTTAGTACGTACAGACACAAAAATAAAATACAAATAATATCAATAATTTGGCAGGTAGCTGATGTAATAAGGAGTAACTTGAGCTACTTTTATTTTAGAAAAATAAAGTTAAATTCCACGCGGAGGAAGTCGCGGGTACAACTAGTAATAATAAATAAGAATAACTTAAGAATATACATGTTTATGTGATGTAGAGATTGTTGTCGCTATTTAATATTACGAAAAAACATGAGTTTGTCGTTATTTGTTTGCATAATTCGTTGTCTGCATAAAATATCGTCACGCCTAGTTTTTACGGGGTAGCCAGAGGGAGAGACAGTGTATTAAAATAGAATCGATCGGTATTACATCGTACACCAGTTAATTGGCATCGACCTTGAAACTTGCAGAGCAAGTTTACGACAAAGTGCTTTGGTTTGGCTAAAAATACAACGATTTCATGATTTACGTCGTCCAGTCACGCCACGGCAGATGTCTGCGGCTTTTGTATTACGATGACGTGTAACATCCCTCAAAGAATATTAGGGGCCGTACAGAAATTTATTTAGCACATTAGTCGGCCGGAGAGTGCATAAGAGGGCGATAAAGTGTGACAAAGTGTGACATTCTGTGACAAGACCCGATCCGCTCCGTCTTGGATTATTTTTATTTCTTACCGTTGTTATCATCATCAGACAGTCATATAGGTATATAAAGTGATACAGTTGACTCTACTTATTTATACAGACTAAATTCGAGTGCACGACCGTAAGGTGTATGCTCCCAATATTTTAGTACATCCCTAGAGCCTGTATAATAGACGTTCTATTATACAGGCTCTGAAAAAAGTATGTTGGGCTAATTAGTTTCAAAAATTAAATTTTTGTAATGTTTAATATAAAGGTACAGAAAAAAAAAGTTGATAGACCAGTTTTAGAAATTGTCCGAATAGAATCTCAGTACACGACACGATATGTTATAAGTTAGGTATAATCAGAAATGTAGACAAGCCCATATAAAAAGCAGTAGGTAGTCATGCAAACTCGCGATAACTGTAAAAAACGTATTATGGAACAAGACAATAGGAAAAATTACCGACCGACTATTCAGCAATGTTCACCAGTCGTTTTTGCAAATCGAAACTTGTCGCTCTACGAACTTATTTGACAATAAAAAATGTAACGATAATAATAAAAAAATAACACGATGACAAGTTGAAGGCATGTGAAGTTTCTTATTCAATATTTACTAAATTTATTAATTTTACTAAATTGTTTGCTACGTAAATAGTACAGTGGACAAAAATGTCGTTTTTAACGGAGTATTTTGACGAATACCGACAGCATCCTATCAAGAAAACTAAAATGTTAGTGTGTAATTTGTATAATGATAAAATATTGGTATAAAAAGGGCGGATTCTCTTCTTGTTGTTGTTTTAAAATTTGTCCAAATAGGACAGTCAAAGACTATGATCTATACTGCTCACTGAAGAATACACTTTAAAGCTAAATTTATTATTTTTTTAAATTATTTTTATATATAAAAATAGTACACTGAATATAGTTGTCGTTTAAACAGAATATTTAATAATATCAATCGCATCCTATCATGACAATTAAAATATTAGGGAATAATTTATATATCATAAAATATTATAAAAAGTTGCGGTTTTATCTGTTGTTGTTTTAAAATTGGTCTAATTTAGATGGGCGAAGCGGATAGCGCATACTGCCTAACGAGAAAACCAAACTCCAAAATCTCAGTATCGATTTGAAAAAATAAAAATCAGTCTACATTATTCTAGAGTAACATAAGCTATATATTATCTTAATATATATACAGAACTTTGTCTCTGTCTACAAAAACTTGAACGAGTGAGTACGTACATATGTAGGTATGGTTGAAATGCTGGAGTCGATAACGAAGAAGAGAATATCAAGATTGTTGAAAGTACTAATTGAACTTTTTTAATAATTGAAGTACAACCCAATAGGTGCCGACCAGAAGACCGATGGGCAAAGATGGAAGGAAAGTGGTTGGACCCAAAAATTGGAACTCAAGATGTGAGTTTTACGTAATCTGTTATCTTACGTGGTATCTGTTATAGTGGAGCCTTCTGTATAAGCATTTTTATGCTTAAAAGAATGCTTCAATAACTGTATAGAATTTAGTAAAAATTATGTTATATAAAATAAAGAATTTAGAATTATTTCATTACTGGTAAGATAATAAGTATTATAATTCCAATAGAAAGCCTGGACAGATGAAGACATCGAGCAGTTCATAAAAAGCACAATGAAGAGTTTACGTGGACAATCAACGTATTATAATGACTTTTGTTCACATCAGTCTCAAGGTTCGTACTACTTTGTACCTATTTTACATAAGATTAAGAAAATAAGAGACCAATACCTCTGATCGTGGTACTTCATTATTACAATGATATCATACGATTCTGAGGCTGATATTTTAGTCCTCATAAATAGCACTCCACAGGAGTTAAAAGACTGATATACGCAATAGGTCTGTTTGTTTGCCATACCAGTGATTTTCACAATGTAAATACATGATGATGATGAAGAAGGTGATAATGATAGTAATAATATACCTGGACAATTCATACAGCGTCCTCTAGACCCGAGCTAAGCAGAGTTTGTGTTATGAGTGGATTGACAATTCATAAATATTTTTTTGTAAATAAGAATAAGAATAACTTTCATTTCGGAAAACTTTAATAACATTTTATCTGACTCCACAAAAGGTTATGCTTATAACGCGGACAGCAAGTTTAACAGTCAAACTAACATTGGTAGAGCTATCAGAGATGATGATAATTTTGCGTTTATATAATAGATGGTATATGACATACATACAAAATGTACATAGGTAAAAGCCAGAGCTCATGAATACAAATGTTTGTACCGTGCGAAGAATCGAACCTACGAACATCAGATATAAAGCGGTGTGTTAAACCGCTAGCACACTGAAGCCGTAATTTTTTTTTAAATTAAATTATAAAAACCTTATCTTATATTTTTCCCCTTACAATTCATAACACTTTAGGTAGCTACTAGAACTATCACAGAATAGGTTGTTATAGAAATAAAGTATTTAACAGATTTGAAGACTCGGCCATTCAAACCGCGGGAGAAGAAACGTCAGCCGTGCTTTTCTAAAGGCGAGAAGGCAATAGAAGATGCAGCTCCTCTACAGACACCCAAGCTTGCTATTAAGGATACAGAACTGATGAAGGTGGCTCGAGACATTTATGACCGCGATATGAGCAAGCCTACTTTAGAACCATTGCCAACGCATTTGAGGAGTTAGTATTTCTATATCTATTGAGAACATAGATTTCTTGTATTTGACTTAGTGTAACAAATTGCCGGCATCTAACTACATCGACATCGCTGTTACTCCAGTCAGCTCGTGGCTAGTCCAACTAGTTGAAACATCGAGAGGTAAATATCTTTATCTTATTAATATTATAAACGCGAAAATCTGTGAGTATGGATGGATGTTTGTTACTCTTTCACGCAATAACTACTGAACGGATTTTAAAGAAACTTTACAGTAATATAGCTTATACTTCAGAATAATATATATGCTATAAATTTCACGCGGGCACAGCTAGTTTATCATAAAAATATTCGTGTTAAAACCCGTTTAAATATAGTAATAATATATTTCAACAATCATAGACACTAAACCACTAATGAAAAAATTATGGAGAATGAAACTATGAGTTGGAGGGCCGACAAAACTTATTTTTCATGGTACTTTACACATTAAAAAAATTTCACCTAAAAATGTAAAGTTACAACCAAATAATTGAAAAGAGTAACACGCAAGGTTTTTCGTTTTGTTCTTCTTGTAATAAGAATTCTTTCCGAATGAACTGTAGGTTAAAAAAATAAGTAACGACTATTCTAAAAGTGTATGTAAGTGAATTTGTATAAAGATTTTTTTATTTCTATTCTACCGTGACATTTATTGTGACATTAGAAGCTTACTAATATAACAGTCTCTCAGTTTAAAGGTTTAAACGCGAAAGTTTGTGAGTATAGATGTTTGTTACTCTTTCACGCAAAAACTACTAAACGGATTTTGAGGAAACTTTACAGTAATATAGCTTATGCATCAGAATAACATATAAGCTACATTTTTTATTGAAACTTAACCCGGGTGAAACCGCGGGCTCACCTAGTCATCGCCGCATATAAACTTGTTATTAAATTTCAATTTGGCTGCACTTCCTGCACTAATGACGTTAATATGGTGAGTACATAAATGTTGTGCATAACACATTACTGCAAACAAAACATCGTTATAATGCACGGACAAATAAACACTCTCCTATATAGAATAATTAGAATAATTTTAATATTGAAACCAGCGTCCGACAAAGTAACTTTGTTTTTTTTTGTTATGCGACATTTAACATTTATTTTAATAAAGAATTATCATAAATGTTTTTCGTATTGATCCTATAATTTCTTGTCAGGGTTGGTTTAGTAGTTTAGTGACTACTTAGTGGTATCTTTTGGAATATATACTTTTTGGTTTGATTAATAAAAAAAGAAGTTTAATAAATAATGTATATATATGGGGGTTGGTAATATTTTATATCTAATGTTTGTTAAAATTATTATTTACTGAGTTATAAAATACAATTCATAAGCTTGTGTATACAATTATATATGGTATATTTAGCTATTTGTTTTCAATATTTTTATTACATTTTTAAAGTCTGGGTCTGAGAATCGATTACTGTCTATTTTTCATAACTCTAAATGATAAGAGTTGTTCACCCCTTTTTTACACTTTTTTATTTTTTTATCATGGTAATAAAAAGTCCAAAACCCTGAAATTTCATCCGTATTTTTTAATATTGATTTTAATTTATATGGTATTACAACGCTTGTGGCATCTAAGTGCATGTATCTATAAAGAGTTATGTATAATGAAGCATGAAATCTATAGTAGATATTTTCTATTCGGTCTCTACGTCCCATCCTTAGATATATCATCATTATAAATATCATCATCTGCTTCTTTCTTATCCCATTCATTTATAGTCAGCGTAATATGTTTTTCACTTTCATTCATCTCTGTTCGCAGTCATCTCGTTATTTACTCCTTTACGGTTCTAACGTAAAGATAAAAAAAAATACATTTTATTGTTTAATTTCCCTACAGTCCTTGGCTACGTACGCCCTTGCCGCTACAAGACGGGTATCAGCGATTACCAGGAGAGCATAGCCCGCCTGGCGTACGAGCTGATACGAGACGACCGTATACCGCGGTACCAGGCGCACAACGGGTGTCGACCACGGTGGGGTCTGCCCCCAGAGGGCGTGCGACAGCCCGAGCTGGATGGGGCGCCGTATGATGGAGAGAGGCTGTATTAACAATAAACGAAGCCTTTTTATATAATTGTAGCGACTCGTTCCGATTTCGCACGTATGCTGTACAAACCTTTGAATTTCTCGGCTTGTTCTATTCTGTAACACGCGTGTATTATACATATAAACCTTCCTCTTAGATCACTCTATCTATTGCTGAAAACTGCATTAAAATCAGTTGCGTAATTTAAAAGATATAAACCAACAGACAGCGGCGGACACTTTGTTTTAAACCATGTAATGTTTTATACAAATATATTAAAGATTTCACTGTATAATGTTAATGGTTGTGCAAATTGAAAACGGTTGATTATCTTTAATAATATTAGAAAGAGAAAAATATATATTTGTTTTTAAGGGATGTACACTGTTGGCGACCGACCCTATACGAAAGACAATGATGGAATAATAAAATAAATTGAAGTATATCAAATAACATGACATATAAAAAGAACTCTTCAAAAATATAAATTTAAAAACAATAAAAATATCAAAAGAGTTCGGCGGTCGGTCGCCAACATACACAAAAAATACTTAACCGATTTCAAAAATACTTTCATCCATAAAAATATATATATATATATTAGCAGCCTATGAAAGGAGTATACAATTATTGCACCTGTATGTAATCTAGAATATATTAAAAACTTTATTTAAAAAACTTCAATGCACAAACTACTAAGGTCGGCAACCATAGGATACGGTAACCATAACACATAATTATTGTCTAACTACCTGTGCCCGCGATTTCAGCAACAATTTATAGCCTATGTGTTATTCTGATGTATAAGCTATATTACTGTAACATTTCATCAAAATCCATTCAGTAGCTTTTGCGTGAAAGAGTAACAAACATCCATCCATCTGTCCATCCATACTCATAAACTTTCGTGTTTATAATATAAGTAAGAATATAATTATTGTGTTTCTAATTATATGGATAGATATAACATATCTTAGTGACGAAAGAACGTGTTAGAATTCATTTTTTGTGACAAGTTTGTGACATACATATTTTCATTGCTATTATTGTCCACAATAGCTAATAACTAACGTTATAATACTTTTTTATTTTTATTAGTAATTTAGATTTATATATAAACTTTTAAGTATATACTTATATAAATATTGTTGGTATAGTTTGTAAAGTAAATTTAATATTTACCTAAAATGATTTTTATTTAAAGTATTGTTCTATGGGTTTTTTTATGAATGATAATGGAATGGTGCACTCGCTGGCGCTTACGGTTTACACTTCGCTACTTCTACGTTTAGCATCAGACACGAAGGAAGACCTAAACAACTCGACCTATTGTGCCATTGCAGTTACTAAGTTCTGGTCTGGTAAACCTGGTTGTTGGGGCTCCCTCGGTTCTGTAGCGCATCAGAGATGTTTGCAGCAGCGCGGGTAGATCGATTTGAAGCCATAATGCGTAAAAGAGCTGCATCACTGATGTCTAGAATTCGGGGGAGCTCAAACAGCATCCTAAAAACTGTTGCGAATATACCTGATTGTCCGCTCCAGAGGCACTGGATAACTTTGCATTGTGGACCCAGTGCTTCTGGACGTGGACACAGATATATGAATTAAATATATCTACGTATATGTATATTATAAGTTACTAACATACTTTTATAAGTTTTTACTAACACAATATGGATGTAATCCGAATTAAAATTAAATAAATAAATATGTGTATATTTAGGTTTACCATTGACACTCAAGAAGAAGAAGACGGTTTACGATGGCGAGGTACTATTGGAGGATAATGAGATGAGTATGAGATCAGGCCAGTTAGTCCATCATGAGAAATTCACCAGGAATTTATCACGATGGTTTCCAGAGGGCACCGCGTGGACTATCTGATATGGGACATTTCTAGCAATGGTTTTATTTGTCTATATCCATTCTCCCAATCCCATTCTTCTCTTTAAATGTAATTTCGATCCCCGTTTGAATTTGGGGATTGATCAGAAGAGATATCCGTGTTATTGTTCATGTATTTATATTGATAAGGGTTTTTTATGATAATGGAATGGTGCACCCGCCTGCGCTGACAGTGTACGCTGGTGGGGCACCAGTGGCGAATGATAAGATGAACATGAGGTCAGGTCAGTTAGCCCATTGTGTCTTTCACAAAGAATTTGTCACGATGATTACCAGCGGGAACCGCGTGGAGGTCAACCTGACATGGAACATTTCTAGTAATGGGGTCATAAGTCCACATTACTAACAGTAGACAAAATTACTATTTCCCCTCTATAGACAAGGGTTACTATTTTCTATCAGGTGAGCTGTTAGCTTATTTGCCATAAACACATATGGCCACCAAGCGGAACTGAAAACCATCGTGCTTACTTTCTGATAAGGTATCTTCTACATTTCATCCTCATTCTATCTCATTCTCTTCTACAAGTGCGCCGCTAACGCATATCATTAGTGTTGCCAGAGTTATTTTAATCATTATTCATAAAAAACTATACTACCGGAGTATAAACAAATAAATAACAGTAGTAAAATGTTTTGATTAGTGCAGTAAATTAATAGTTGTTAGCGAGTGGTGATGGAAGTGAGAACAGGAGATTGGTGCCGAGTGATGGCTGTTGCGGCCAATTGATGACGCTGGAGCAATGGTTAACCACAGAGATTAATGAATAGAAACGGCGTTTACTACCTGTATGTCCTTCTAACTAACACCACTGTTCTCTCCCTCTGGTCGATTCCTTGTCTAATTCCAACGGGGATCGAAATTACGACGGTCTGAGCAGAGGTTTAAACCTCTATCAGTGCTTTTAGACTAAAGTCTTTTCACGGCTTTGGAGTGCCATCTGCACTCAGCTCCTACGGGCCGGTAAAGCTATAAAGGTCAGTTGCGGCCAACAGAATAAGAGTAGACCGAAAAAAAAACACTGTTCTCTCTCGCCGTCGGTTGCAGCGTAATGGCCGCATGACGTCAGCAGTGTGCGCTAGAGACGACATAATGCTTCCTTCTCTTTCCCACATATACTACACTACTGATAGCAGCAATACCTGGACGCGTTAGAATATTTTTTTACCAACTCCAAAGAAGAACAGGAGGTACTAAATTCAACTTTATTTTTATGTGTCTTATTAGATAAGAACTTTTTTCCGAAAACCTTTTGAGCCGATGACGATAAATATTTTTTTATTTGAAGGCTGGTTCTTCTGGAGTAATCTCATAGATAGATGGGTCTATCTATGAGATTACACCAGAAGATCAGTATCTAAGATCATGTTCTTGATCTTAGATGCTGATTCTTATAGTATAAGTTCAACGTCCTCTATTATATTCACATACACCCCTGTGAAGATGTGGGGGGACGGGGGGGTTGTAAGTTTCTTATAAATAAGACTGTAGATGGAAGTGGGGGCCACTGCTGGTATGTTTATATGACCGCTCTATTTTCTTATTCCCTATGACGTTTATACAATCGAATGCAAGGCGCTTTTTTCATGATTTACAAAAATAGTCGTAGATTCAGGAAAAGTGGCAACTCAAGGCCTTGACTAAGTGTGCACAGCTGCACACTGAATACGAGTGTGAAAATTTTCCACTTTATTGGATTTTTATTGCCAGTTAAATTATATGTACATATTTTGTATACTGACAAAAGGTTATCAAATGTGTTGAATTTATTTTGTATGCATATTGAAGATAATAAGAGCTTTTTTTTAATAATAATGCCCCTGGACAATTAACACAATACCATTTAGTTCCAAGGTAAGCAGAGCTGGTGTTATGGGTATTTGTATCAACAGGTAATTGATACAAATACTTAGATTTATTTTGTAAATACATAGATAATATATAAATAGAAAACACCCAGTTCAATACAGACTATCATACTCATGAATACAAATGTTTGTACCGTGCGAGGAATCGAAGACGCGGATATCGAAAGTAAAACGGTGTGTTAAACCGCTAGACAATCGAGGCCGTTATTTTTAATGATTGTTAATGGAATGGTACACCCATGGGATAAAAGAACAAGAATTATATAAATACATTTAATCACTACACAGTATAAAACAAAGTCGCAGTCGCTGTCTGTCCGTCCCTATGTATGCTTAAACCTTTAAAACTATGCAACGGATTGTGTAGCGGTTTTTTTTAATAGATAGAGTGATTCAAGAGGAATGTTTATATGTATAATACAGGTACACCCGTGCGAAGTCGGGGCGAGTAGCTAGTTTATTTATAATTCGTTAAAAAAATAAGTTGACTATGCCCCGTACTGATCACATATGTATATGTAGAGGTCTCTCGAGAGATACAATAAATTTTGCACGCAACAACAAATCGTAAATTTACCAAAAATTAGGTGTTTATCGAGAAAACTGAGACCCTTTCACATATTAAAAGTGAGCAATAAATTACAAGTTTCCGAGAAGATTTACTTTTAATACTTCTGCGGCGATAAAGAATGTATAATAAAGACAGGGTTGTCACAAATTTAAAAAAAAAACGTGGAAAACGACAACAAAGTTTTGTATTTATTAATTACTAGCTACCCAGCCCGACTTGGCACGGGTGTACATATATTATACATATAATTCTTGCTTTTGAATCACTATATATTTAAAAAAACCGCTTCAAAATCCGTTGCGTAGTTTTAAAGATTTAAGCATACATAGGGACACAACGACAGCGACTTTGTTTTATACTATGTAGTGATTCTTAATTGCACTTATTGAATTGTACAATCAGCGAGTTCAATGCCATATGGTATTCTTTAACAGCTAATCATAAGGTAAGAACTGAAAGCTGTTGATGAGCTTTATCTGTTGATTTTACCTAACGTAGGTCAATAGGTCGTACAAAACCGATTTGTTTTCTTCAACGAGAGCTATCAATTATTACGGGGAAAGAACTACGGGGTTTTTGGTCCAAAAATTTATAACAATTTAGATGGGTTACAACGAAATTCTAATTTAAGTAGACCAGTACTGAAGTCAAAATTAAAAAGAGCACTTTTAGATAAACTTTAAAAACAAAAATTGTAATTGTATGTAATTATCTGTAAAAACGTGTATTTATGTGGATAGATGTTTATGGGAAGAAACGTATTTAAAAAAAACTGAGCGATATCTTGCCAATAAACTGTTCTACAGTTTGGTGAGTCAATGTACAAAAAGAACTGTACAATTATCTTTATTAAATAAATAAAAAAAATTTACATACATAATAATAATAAACAATATACATACATCTCTTTTTTATTGCTATATGTATGTAATATATTTACATTATAATAAATTTATTAACATATGTAATAAATTAATTAATATGACAATTTTCATTACGGTTTAAGATACTTTTAGACTTTTTGCTTTTTTCAGTAGACG